GACCCTCGACCCTCGACAAAAAGATAGACTCGTATAGATGTATGGTGTGCTGTGTATTCACGACTAAATCAAGCAGTGTTTTTTCTTCAATGTTTCAGACGTTTTCACGAATAGTTTTTGCTGATTACAAAGACAACGATATCAGTCACTTTTACGAAGAGTTTCTTGATACATGGGATGTACAGGGATTGAGATATGAACTTATATAACATATTCAGAAAATAACACTTTAAATTCTAGTTGCGACAGAGCCTCCAAAATCGTAAAATATCTAAATGTAGAAACCGATCATCAGTAGGATGCTAAAAAATAAAACGCACAAATTTCTAAGAGTGGTTTCCGCTCAATTAAATCCAGTACCTCTTTCATTTTTTTTTTTTTTTTAACTTCATTTGATTGACAGTCTCTAAAGTCCTAGGCTTTGTCTAGAACCTTGAGCACTGGCCCCAAACAACAAACTTACCCCAACATTGACTATAAAAGAACACTCCTAATGGCCTTTAACAAATACGCTCGGTAGATTGTCAACTTGTTTATTAAATAAAACTCCTTGCAGTTTTGCGACTGAATTACGAGTATTGAAATTTACAATAATCAATATACATCTATAAATATATTAAGAATTTAAAATACAGTAATATGTAGTTAATGAAGGACTTCAATCGTTTGCATTTGTTCGATTGGTTAGATATTTTATTTTATTTTGGTGTGTTCGATTACCGAACAGCTCGATTGTAAACTGAACCGAAACTTACTTTTAATCGTTCGATTTTGTTCGATTGCCTAAATTTTTTGGTGAGTACTAGTCCAATTAAGTTTGATTACTGAATCCAATCGAAAACAATCGAACGATTGAAGCTCAATTAGGTTCGATCACGTAAAGTAAAGTAGAGATTTGAAAGCGTCGATAAGAAAACAATTATTCCAGTTCTTGATGTGTATATACCAGACGGAACCCAGAACTGAGTCAGTCTTGTAATAGACCTGTGTGCTGAATTTATGAATTGGGGAGTCTATTCCTAGGCAAAGGTGTGGTAGATATGCCTTTTATCCTGTTCCCAATGCCACTTGCAAGAAACATAGCGTGTTTGATGTTGCAGTTTTCCGGAAAGGGAATGGATCAGATTATTATCTTCTACATTTTTGTGCGTTCAAAGTGACACTCATTTTGCTTAAAATTGCCACCTTGCCTTTATGAGCAATGAATTTATTGTTTGGAATTTAACAGAAGTCATCAATTTTTGTCTTTATTTTAGAATGCATAAGTCCTTCATACCTCGGGGTGATGCCCAAAAATTCATCGAAGAAACTTCAAGTAATGGGGAAGTCGTCATAATTTGTGGTGCGGTGGATGTGGATTTGTATCTCGCAGCAAACACAAAGTCGTTTCTTATTGCTGCTGGCTGGGTGACTCCAGAAGAAAAAGTCGTGCAATATGGCATACCAGCACCCACGCCTACGAAAATGAGGGCCCTTATTGAGATAATAGTCAATCAGACCAACTGGTACTATTTGTGTGCTTTCGATGATCCTGTACCAACTAAGGTGGTGTCCCTTTGTCTGTCAAACACGTATACAGTCTCCCCTGAAGAGAAAGCCATGGCAGAGGCCTTTAAAGCCATCTTGAAATATGGAGCCGACAACCCAGCTATTAAACAAGCTTTGATCTGCTACCTTATGGCAGGTCAGGACATTATTTGTTTAATTTTATCAGTCGAACGTTATTTTAACCGTGACACCTTAATTAAGATCATTCCTCTGAATTAGAACCTGTACTGGGATTTTTGGCAAATTTTATGTTTTGGTTGTTTATCTTATAGAAGCTTAAATTTTAAAAAAGAATAGGGGCATCTCTATGTTTGTTTAGGAGAAGTAGCACCTGGTATACTAGCGTAATGATTCTTCTTAATATCACCGTGATTAATTATAGTTCTGAGTTCTAAATCCACGTATCCGATGGTCGTTTCTTATTTGCACTGGGAACCAGCTGTATGCTTGCATGTAGCGTCCTGGTAAATCTTGTCACCTCCTGCTCAGCAAGTCAGCAAAGAGTTAACCGATTTTCCTCGAAAATTGTTTGATAACAAACAATCATCTCATCAGAAAGGAGTTAATGGCTTGCCTGTTACAGCCGATACAACTATCCATCGCCCTTTTTGATATTCAGATATTGTTTGAGTTCTAGCACCTTTGTTATGAGTCAATCCTCATGTTCCTCATAAAGCTTTCTGAATTTATTTAAGCAAATCAAAACATTGATAGTTTTCGTCACTTTCGTCAACAGCTATTGCCCACGACAAGGATTTTAAAGAGGTAGAAGATTGGGCAGTGACCCCTTCCTCTTCAACAAACCCACCCCAGATTATGGAAGATTTGAAAGAGCACGTCCGATGCATGATGAATGGGCGAAAGCATGAGGCAATATTCATCAGACACACAGCAACAAAAAAATCGAGGTCTGATAGTAGAGATGATAGGCAGAAAAATGATTATTGCCTGAAGCATTTTCAGTCTATACGTGTAAATGACAAGTATAAGGGAAAGCTAAAGGGTAGGGTTGTGTGTGTGTTCGATGACTACCTTACACATGGTAATACATTTGAAGCTCTTCGGAATCTCTTAATCAAGTGCGAAGTAAAAAAGATTATTTTTGTTTCAATTGGAAAATTTAAGCGTAATTATGAAAGCCAATACATCCAAAAGTCCTTTTCTATTGAAGGTGATGTATATTCAGAGAAATACACAGCAGAATTCAACACTGCTGCATGTCACGAGGTTGAGTTTGACGATGCTGCTCAACGAAGCCTGGAGAATCTTAAACAGCTAGCCACCTATCTGTGTTGAAGAGAGTGCCTCTCCAACTCTTTTTACAGGTTCTGGAAACGGGGTCCTGTTCCTGCATTTGCACTCCTTTTTTTACGAAATTCAAAAACAAAAAACAAAACAAAACAAATTTTGGTGAATCCCGCTTCCCGAGAAGCAGTCAAATCCCGAATCCCGTCAATATATTTTGCTTTTTCCTGTATCTCGCATCATAGTTTGGTCAAATCCCGGATCCCACGAGAACTACCCTTCCAAACCCTGTTTCTACTGACACAGTTTAAGCCAAACAAATTTGCAACAATTTTCTTGTATAACTACATTGTGAAAAATAGTATATAGCTCTTTTAGGGAAATGACCAACTATTATCATGTTTTATGAAAAAAAGAAAGATTTCTTAATTTCTAAATTAGGATTGCACTAATCCGTATTTAGTTGATAAATAATTAGTTACACAGTGGAGTTCAGTTACCTCGCTCTTGATACCGCGTTCCTTGGGCTGCAGTTAACCCCTCATGAAATATCCCGTTTTTTTTCCCACAGAGGTAATTTTCCTACAAATTTTTTCAGAATTTAAACCTCGATATCTGAAACCGACTCCAACGAGAGCAAAGTATCTGAATTTTAATCATGAGGCATCTAAATTAGAGGCATTGATTGCTCTGTTTCGACGCTGTTGTAGGCCAATAATTTTTTTCTTTATGTGGTACTTTCAGTTATATTTTATATCAGATTAACCAACCTGTGCCCAGTATTTCAGCTACTTACAAAACAAAGAGAATGTAACTTGACCCCAGCTTCATTATCTTGAGCTTTTGTTGCTTGTAGACTACAACTCTGGACGTACTATTTTGGAAATTTCACGCCGGAGGAGGTGGGGGGTACTCGGTTATGATTTGGGTGGGTATATGTGCCGCCTAGGTGTCCAAATTTGGACCCCGTTTTCAAGAGAATTTGCCTTCAAAATGATACCCCGTTCTAGGAATAGGTCAATTTTTAACCCCACGACGGATAACTGCCTTACAATAGTGTACCGTGCTCAACACAAGGTGCAACGGTTTGATTTGTTCATGAACATATTTTTTTTGATATAAATTCTCTATGTATAATTTCAAATGGCGGCTGATAATTTAATGAGCTTTCGTACGTTCGAAATATTATACCCCGTTGTGAAACATCTCGAAAATAGATACCCCATTCTAGATCAGGAGCCCTAAAATCACAACCCTGTTGGCGCCACACACCCGTATAGGTATTGTGGGGGAGTACCCCACTAGGGAAATTTTCCCCGCATCCCTGTTCAATGTTGGGATTATCAACACAATCGCTGGAAACAATTTCTATAGCAACACTGAAGCAGAGAAATGGGGGATTTTTTCCAACACTTGAGTCCAGGGTTGTAGCTTGTCCCTTGATGTTTTGAAACAAAATGGGACTCCACTGTATTTTTTGAAATGGTCATACATAGGGTGACTTTTAATACATGACACACATCTCGTGTAAGATACTACACTGTATTTTTATCAACTTTTACCTGTACATGATGTTGTGTAACATGTCATTAGTAGACAAAGAATTGTAATAAAGTTCAGGCTTGGGTCTGGAAGAGTTGAGTACTATAGCGGCATGTTACACCTTGTGCAAAGCACATACTGCGGTTTGGACTCTAAATCTGCTAGCAAATATGGACCGGGTGTCATGAAGGTTTCTACAGGTGTCCTCCCTTATGAACTTGTTTTGGACACTTGCCTAGGACACTAAAATCCTGGTATGCTATCAGATAAGTGAGCACACTAGAAGCGCCGCATGCTAGCAACTAGTCAAACGTCCTCCCTTTTATTCGCACCTCTTAAACTCTATAGGTGTCTGGTTAGTGATTGTATCTTAAGTAGAGTAATTGTATTTAGTCATGTTGTAAATAGCATAAGCACTAGTACCGTATGTGTAACTGTGTTGTAAGTATGCCAATAATTTGTGTTGTAAGCATTATTTGTGTATGAGGTGGAAATAAATAAATTTAAAAAAAAAGAGATCACATGCTCCTTGGATTACTAAGTAACTTATTTGCGTTACGCAAAAAGGAGAAAAAGATGTAAAACCATGCGCGATAGACCATTAACCTACACTGCTTAGCCAATGGAATTCCAGAGTCTGGTGCAGCCCACGAAGTGAATTCTATACACGCTATGGTTGGTCATTACTTATGATCTATCAGAGTACAGACGCATAGATGCCGTTATCATCAACAACTTTGTTTTCCTTATTATATAAAACAAATTTATCCCATGTCGCCGTGTGTCTGTTCAGCAATAGATCACAGAAGACATCAACATGTGGTAAGAACATCAGTGACACACTCGGCTGCGCCTCGTGTGCCACTTTTTTTTTCTTACCACATTTTGACATCATCTGTGATCTATTACTGAACAGATACACAGCAACATGGAATCTATTTGCAAAACTTAACAATCACTTCAAGAGTGAGGAAAACGATTTCCATTATTCATATGTTTTAATATGCCACTGTGGGCACACTGTGGGTATGTGTGACTCAGTGGTTATCACGCTGGACTCCAGATTGAGTTGTCTGTCGTGTTCTTGACAAGACACTTTAGGTGGCTCCCTATAGTTTTACGATTACACGCGCGCATAGGATGAAAGCTCAGGTCATCTGCGCACGCTCAAGGGAAAACGTAAGTGTTTTTCGATTTTTATGACGTCAACATGAGGACAAAAAGCAAAACTGACAATGAATTTTCTTGCGTTTCCTTTGGTGAATTTTTTTTAAAATTTGGCTCAGTTGTGACCACATACAATTCCTATAAAATACCCTATTTTTGTGAAAATCTGTCGGAGCCAGGTCGGAGCTAATCTAATATATTTAGAAGAATTACAAATTACAGGATATTGGAAAAACTGTCTGAACAACCTTGACTTTTTACGAATTCAAAATGTCAGGCAATATCATTTACGTGATGTGACAAAGGATGAAAAAATTTCACCGAAGGAAAGTATAAATATTAAGGAGTTTAGGCTAAAATGAGGAATATATCGGCCTGTCATTAGATGAGATGTTGCCATGGTGACGGCCTTAATCCAAAAATTAACAACCAAAAAATAAGCCTTATTTTAACAGTACCCACACTGGTAGATCTCTACAGGGAGAACTTTAAGAGAAATTAACTAAGTTTCCTTTTCTAACTCGCGCTCTATAGGGAGGGCGTTGACTTCGTAAATACTCTAGGAAGCCACCTCAACTCTCACAGTGCTCCTCTCCACTCAGGAGTAGAAATGGGTACCAGCTAACTTTCAGGGAAACATGATGAAATGCTGAGGTATAACCTGTGATGGACTAGCATCCCATCCAGGTGGAGTAGCAATATTTCTAGTTGCTTCATGCTACTGAAACCAGAATAAGCTCTGGCAGTTATGGGCCACTAGGCTTGTAAGGCTTAACCTTTTTTCAGTGGGCACCTGAAATGGGAAGGGGAGAGGGGATAGTCTGAGGGGTACACATTCTTCAACTGGTATCCGAAATTTGATCACCAGGGCCCAGTTGTTCGAAGGCTGATTGGCACTAACCTAGGGTTAAATTTTAACCCGCATTTCTCTTCCTTTTGTTCAAAAACATTTTCTCGGATAATTCTCTCTATTGTTTTTAAAGCATTCAATCATGAAATTGTACACAAAAAGAAATAAGCTGAATTTGCTTTTAAAGCTTTCATATCTGAATTCAAATTTTGTGCTAGCCCTGGGCTACCTTAACCCACCTTTGAACAACTCAGCCCTTAAGTCTACAACAGGTTTCACCGTAAGTGTTCATTTTTAACAGCATCTCAAATAAGGAATACTGTCATAAATAGGGCAGCATTTGAATACCTCAGCAGTACTATGCTAACCAAATTTCCATAGAGTGCCCCTCCCTAGGCACTTATATTCAAGGTGGAAGCACCCTCTACATCCGAGAGACATCATGATGTTGTTTTATTGATTATAAAATTATATATTTTGAATTACCTCTTGCAAATTCAGTCTTTTCTTAACTGTAGTTAAAGTAGCATCCTTGCCTCCCCCAATACCTATACTATACAGGTATCCACCAAACAGGGTAGTGATTTTAGAACTCCTGATCTAAAAGTGAGTATCCATATTGGTATTTGGAGTATTTTTTTCAAATGGGATATAATATTTCAGAAGCATTAAAGTCTCACATTATCCACAGCAAAATTAGTTTAATTCATCAGTGGAGCATTTTATTTACATAATGTGTCATATGATAAAAAAATTACAAACTATAAAATATAAAATTACAAACTTTTCAAGATCAAACTACTGAAATTTGTTAAAAAATGGGTCTATTTCGACATTAGGTTATCACTCCAATTAGAAATTATTTCTAAAATTGGGTCAAAATTTGGAGACCCAGGCAACACATGCCTACCCTGTTGATTATTCCCAAATCTACTGAAGTACCCACTCAAAGCCTCAACTGTTGATAAAATTAGTTAATAGGGACACTATTTTATTAAGAACAATGCCAGATCCAACTGCACACTGCTACCGTGAAGCTGTTCTACCTACACAGAAATAATTTGCTCACAGAATGTTTAAAATTTTGCTTAAGTTCAAAAGATGGCTGTTTTATTTAGAGATTACCCAGGTAAAATGTTATTATTGCTGGGGCAAGGAAAGGTCAAAGCAACAGGCAATAAAGACATTACAGAAACAATACAGTATGTGCAGTTCGGATAGCAATAATTTCTAATTTTTTTGTAGAACATTTTTTCCATCATAGACGTCAGTAGTCTGAAGTTACTGTCTTAGATTCAAGCCAACAAAATGCTCAACCCATGCACTCCAACAATCTGAAACCTAAATCTCCCAACTAGTGACAATACACTTCTTTCATGATTAGTCCTGAGAATTTGGTGTTATATAAAAACAACATCCCTTACTTCTCATTGCTTGTCTGCTTGACAGTTTATTGAAATTAAAAGGCCAAGTCATAAGTAAAGTTAGAGTCACCCATAAGCAAATGGCTGGCTGAACCAAAATGTAATTTTTAAGCTAAATATGACTGTATACATAGTGTGAAGAAAAGTATTTGACAA